CTCGTCGGGCCTTCCAGGAGGACCTCTTGGAGGCCTCTTGGGCCGTCTTGGAGGCCTCTTTGGGGCCTCGTGGGCCGTCTTGGGCCATCTTCAGGCTATCTTAGGCCGTCTTGGGTACATCTTGGGCCGTCTTGGAGGCATCTTGGGGCCCTCTGAGCCGTCTTGGAGGCCATCTTGGCCGTCTTGGAGGCATCTTGGCCGTCTTGGAGGCCATCTTGGGGCCGTCTGGGGCAGGAAAACCGTTTGCAACCACCTCTTCCAGGTGGCCGGCGGGACGTGACGAAGCCCCAGGGGGAGTTCTTTTGGAAAAAACCAAAACCAAAACCGATAGGATTCGGCACGCCAGGCACCCCTGCGATGAATCGACAGGGGGCGGCGGATCGAATGGCCTTCGGTCCATCCCGCCATCGTGCCTGGCTTGTCGGTCTGAAGCCAGTGGGATAGTTGGCGGGGTGCCGTCGGAGTTTTTCGGGGGGGGCTTGGAGGTATCCCGCCACCGTGCCTGGGTTGTGGGGCTGAAGCCAATCGGATGGTTGATGGATCTCGTGGGAGGCCCCTCGGAAGCGTCCTGGAAGTAGTTTTTGGACCTCTTGGGGGCCTCATGGAGGCCTCGTGTTTTTTTGTTTGAGCCCTGTCTTGGGGGCTTCTTTGGGCAACCTGGGGGCGTCTTCGAGAGAGAACCAAAGAGAGACAGAAAGGGAGATACATATATATATAGAGAGAGAGAGAGAGAGAGAGAGAGAGAGAGAGAGAGAGAGAAAGAGAGAGAGAGAGAGAGAGAGAGAGAGAGAGAGAGAGAGAGAGAGAGACAGAGAGATAGAGAGAAAGAGAAGGAGCGAAAGAGAGAGAGAGAGAGAGAGAGAGAGAGAGAGAGAGGAGGGAGGGAGGGCGAGGCGGCAGGGGACGGGATAGTGAGGAGCCTTGCCCGTTCTCCGAGCTGCAGCTGCCCGTGGCCAGCGACGGGCGAATGAGAGGAGGAGAGGAGGAGGAGAGGAGAGGAGGCGGAGGAGGAGAGGAAGGAGGAGGAGGAGGGGAAAGGAGCTAGGAGGAGGAATAAAGGGAGGAGAGGAGGAGGAAGGAGAGGAGGAGGAGAGAGGAGGAAGGGAGGAGGAGGAGGAGGAGGAGGAGGAGGAGGAGGAGGAGGAGGAGGAGGTTGTTGGGGACGGGCCTGAAGCCAGATCACCTCCTCGTTCAGCCAAAATCGGACGCCTCCGAGTCTGACTCGAAACCGTTGTTCGAGGCTCGGAGGGAGGCGGCACCTAGGTCCTTGACCCAGGGTAAATCCGACACCGCAAGGCCGAACGAATCCAAAACCTGCTCTCGCGGGGCGAAGCCCACCGCGAAGCCAACAGTGGCAGGACCTGAAACTCCCTGGGGGGCCTGGCCATCCTCCTCCAGCGTCTGAGCCAAAACCCTCCGCTCGGCGAGGCTAAGGCTCACGTGAGCCCCCAGGGTTAAATTCTTCAGGTCCTTCTTGTACGACGGAAACTTGCCCTGCCGAATCCTTCTCAGCTGGTCGTTAATTCCGCCCGTCGTCGATTTGGGCCTACACAGGCCTTTAGCTCCAGCATTGGGAGCCCCAGAGAAAAACGATCCGCACCGACAACAAAACTGGATCCTACCCCTGGGGTTTCCAGGAGGTTCCAAGACAGGGCAGGCCAAAAACGCATGACCGTTGGCCCGAAAAACATGCCGAGAGAAAGGCCGCCACTCCTCCCCCAAGTCCAAAGAACCTCCCACCTCCCTTTGGTCGTCGGCCAGGGCCTGGCCGTGGGCATCATCGTCATGTGGGTGCTGCCGCTGGCCATCGCTGCCTGTCGACCTGGGCACTAGGCCCGTTGAGTCACGGGGCCCACTGGACATCAGCACCTCGACCGATCCAGCCCACCTGCAGGCCTCGCGGGCGATGCACCTGAGGCCTCTGTACAAGTTGGCCTCATCGTCACTGACCCCATGACACTCAGCTCCTAATTTAGCGAACATATCAGCGAGCCCATTGGCCCGTCTTTCCCAAACACTGCTTCTGCCAGCCTCGACGTCGGCCGCAGTAGCGTGGCCGAGCGTCTTGTGACACTCGAAATCGCTGAGAGTAAACGAGCTCCACACGGGGCCCCACAGATGACCACGGGGGGCTCCGGGGCCCTCCGCGAACCCAGGGCCCCGAGCCAGCGAATCCAGAGTGCTCTGGCAATCAATATAGCATTGAAACGGGGGAAGACCTACTTGCGTAAGCATATATACAGCATAGTCTTCCCCGTCTTTACTAGTTTGCTGCGGGGCCGCACTCAGTGGAACGGGGCCGTAAGCCGCCGAGATCAACTCCCCAAACCTGTCGACCGACACGATACTCCAACCAGCCCGAGTGAGCCCATCGAGGCCCATTTATTTAGCCGACCCGTCAAGGAAGAGCAACCCCGTCAAGTACCCCGTCTCGGGCCTCTCGTGCCAGTGAACAGATTGCGTGGGCTCCTCTACGTCGAAGAGCGAGCGAGGGTGAGGAAAGATGCACCTCGCGAACCTCTCCGCCATCAGCGGCCCGAACTGCTTCACTCTCCGCGCACACCTGCACAAGTGAACACTCGCAAGGTCTCGCCGCAGGACTTCATGCGCAGGGCACTCGTACTGACGGTGCCACAGAGTACCTGGGGCCCCCTTGCACACCTGACACTGATCATCATCGTGAAGGTTGTGAGCATGCAGTCGAGCTTGGGGCCAATGGACTCCCGAGACCAAGCCTCTTAAGCATCTCTGATGGTGCTTCCCCCAGTCTTCAGACTTCTCCCTGAACAACCTGGAAATACCATCCCAGAAGATAGGGTACACAGGTGGCCCATCAAGGCCATTCTGCAAGTGAAGAGCATGTCTATCTGACGCTCGCACAGCACCTTGCCTGATCAAAGTCCTGACCTGCATCGGGGAAAGCCTGAACAAGTCGTGCACCACATTCAAGTCATCTTTGATGGTGTGCTGGTCTACAAAGTCCCAGCCTATCCCTCGCAACGTTAAAAGCGCGACGCCGCTGGGAGAAGACGCTGACCTCCAAGGAGGAGGAGGAGGAGGAGGAGGAGGAGGAGGAGAGAGGATGAGGAGGAGGAGGAGGAGGAGGAGGAGGAAAGGAGGAGGAGGAAGGAGGAGGAGGGGAGGAGGAGAGAGGAGGGGAGGAGGAGGATGAGGAGGAGGAGGATTGAGGATGAGGCTGAGGGGGGCGTGCTGATGAGTATGAGGCGGAGGATTTCGTAGAGCTGATGTCGGAGGAGTAGGCGGAGGATTAGGATGGATGAGGAGTGGATGAGGGGGAGGAGCTGAGGATGAGGATGAGGAGGATGAGAATGAGGAGCAGATGTCGAGGAGGAGGAGGAGGATGAGCAGAAGAGGAGGAGCAGGAGGAGGCGGAGGATAGGAGGAGGAGTAGTATTGGGAGGCGCCTCGGATGATTAGTTGATCGGCTTGAGGACCTGATTATTGCTGAGATGATGTGTGAGGCTCCGGCGGCCGGAGTAGTGACAGGTGCGGCTGCGGAGGAGGAAGGTGTAGGCTGCATAGGTGGAGGTGTCGGTGGCGGGAGGGGCGTCATAGATGAGGCGGCGGAGGTAGGCGGAGGATGTCGGCAGCATACCATCTTTCGCCGTTGTGAATGTTCTGTCGCCCTCCCGGGGTGCGAACAAGCATCCCACAAGTCCCTACCCTGGAAGTCCTTCCTTCCTTTCCCCCTTCCTCCCGCCCCTCCTCGCTGTGCCTCCGCTCCTCCCTCCCTGTTCTTCGCTTCGCTCTCCTGCTGCTGCTGCTGCTGCTGCTGCTCCGTCTGCAGAGGCTATGGGGCGACGTCCAAATAACCCCCTTCCCCCCTCCTCCCCCTCCTCTCCCCCTCACCTCTCCTCCCCTCCTCCTCCTCCTTCCTCCCCTCCTCCCCCTCCTCCTCCTCTTCCTCCTCTTCCTCCATCCTCGTCCGTCCCTCCTTCCCCTCCTCCCCTTTCCCCTCCTTTCTTTCTCCTCGCTCCCCCTCCTCCGCCTCCTTGTTCTTCTTCTTCTCCTCCTCCTCCCACTCCTTTCTCCTCCTCCTCGCTCCTTCTCCTCCTCCTTTCACTCCTCCTCTTCCTCCTCCTCCTCCCTCCTCCTCCGTTTCCTCTTCCTTCTTTCTTTCTCCTCGCTCCTCCTCCCCCTCATCCTCCCTCCTCCTTCTCCTCCTCCCTCCTCCTTTCTTCCTCCTCCCTCGCTCCTTCTCCCTCCTCCTTTCCCCTCCTCCTCGACCTCCCCCGCCTTCTCTTTCTCCTTCTCCTCTCCTCCTCCTCCTCTTCCTCCTCCTCCTCCTCCGCCTCCTCCGCCTCCTCCTCCTCCTCCTCCTCCTCCTCCTCCTCCTCCTCCTCCTCCCCTCTCGATTTTGATGGTCCCGGAGCTCCATATCGGGGATCCCGAATCGGTGCGGTGACCAGACCGTGTGGTGAGTCAATGGGGATTCGGGGTGTCCGCGCTGTTTCGGAACATGGGGCGTCTCTGAGGATGTCTCGGGCAATTGGGGTTCCCATGCCCCAGAACCGTGCGGTGACGAACCGTGCGGTGAGGTCTTCCTGGGGATTTCGAGGTCACCGCACGGTCTGTCACCGCACCGTTTTGGGACCCCCGAGCTAAAATGCTGGGCCGCAGAGACCGAAATCGAAGAAAAACGACGGGATTGAACAACAGCGTACCGCCGGTGCTCTGGGCCGCCACGGCGGCGGCGGCCGCCCTGCCGACGGCCGCAGCGCAGGTCGCCCGCGTCAGCGCCGAGCTTGCCAGCGGCCTCAGGGCCGCCCACGAGGCCGCACACGCGGAGGCGGGCGCCGTCAGCGCCGACGCGGCCGCCGTCGCCGTCGCCGCCGCCATTGTCGTCTCCATCGCCGTTTCCGTCGGTCGTCGCCGTCGTCGTTTCCGTCGGTGCTCGTCGTCGTTGCCGTCGTGGCCGTTCCCCTTGGTCGCCGTCGTGGTCGTTCCCGTCCGTCGTGTGATGTCCCCTGCCGCCGTCCCTCGTCTGTCGTCTGTCGTCTGTCGCTGCCGCCGTCGTCGCCTTCCTCGTCGCTCGTCGCCTCCGCCGCCGTCGCCTCCGCCGCCTCACTCCTCCGTGCACGAGCTGTTTCTCTGGGCCCAGCCTCAGCCGCCCCGCCTCGCGAAGCCTCGTCCCCAGCCCCAGCGGCGCGCTCGCGCGCGCACTCCGCTCCCGCCGCGCGCGCGGCATGGCGCCCGGCGCCGGCGGCGGCAGGCAGGGCGGGGACGAGAGCTGGCCGGCGTCCATCCCACAGGCAGGAGCTCCTCCGCCCTCCGCCCTCCGCCCCCCCGCCTCCTCCCCCCCTCCCCCTCCTCCTCCTCTCCCCCCTCCCCCTTCTCGCCTACCTCCTCCTCCTCCTCTCCTCCTCCTCCTCCAATCCGTCATTTTCCTTCTCCTCCATCATCCCCCCCGTCTCCGTCCTCCTCTTCCTTTCTGGGTGATGCTGAGGCTATGAGTAATCTGAATTGTGATGCTGATGCTGCTGCTGCGATGATGTATGCTGGTGTGGTGATGATGTTTATATTTAGGATCTGTGAATGCTGCTGCTGCTGCTGATTGATGATGATGATGATGATGATGATGATGATGATGATGATGGTGATGATGATGATGATGATGATGGTGATGGTGATGGTGATGGTGATGGTGATGGTGATGGTGATGGTGATGATGATGGTGATGATGATGATGACGATGATGACGACAATGGTGGTGGTGGTGGTGCAAATGATGGTGATGGGGATCCTTGTAATGCTTGTGATCAGGAGGACGAGGAGGAACCCGCAGTGTGGCCTTATACCATCTTGGCTCCTGCGAGGTGAGCACAGGGATCGTCAAGACCGAGCACAGGCACGGCCACAGGGGTATGAGTGATTCGGGTTGGGGGGGATACAGGCAAGGCGATGGAGGCAAGGAGGGAGGGAGGCAGGCAGAGAGAGAGAGAGAGTGTGTGTGTGGGGGGGCTAGAGAATGATAGTGATGATGATGTAGAGGGAAGACAGGGGAAGAGGCAGAGGCGCAGGAGGAGAAGGAGGATGAGTAGCATGACGATGATGATGATGATGATGATGATGAGGAGGAGGAGGAGGAGGAGGAAGAGGAGGATGTAGGAGGAGGAGGAGGAGGGAAGGAAGCGGAGGTGGCTCAGCAGGCATGATTCATGAGGAGGCAGGATGAGGAGGAGAACACTATAATGCTCGTAGTACTATTAAGTATAGCTCGTAATACTGATATTAAAATATAATAATGATTATGAGGAGAGAGGAGGTGCAGTAGGAGGAGGAGGGAAGGAGGCGGAGCAGGAGGAGGAGGAGGAGGAGGAGGAGGAGGAGGAGGAGGAGGAGGAGGAAGACAACGTATGTTGTTGGAGAAAGGGAGGAGAAAGGGGGGGAGGGAGGGAGGGAGGGAGGGAGGGATCAGAGGGTGAGAAGGAGAAAGATGAAGAGGAGCAGGGATACGATGATGCTGATGAGAAGGATGGGGATGAGGGAGCAAAGGCACGGCCACAAGCCGTTCCAGTCGTACAGTCTGCCAAGCTGGGTCCGGCACCCCGACAAGCAGAAATGCTCCATGTACCTCCAGCCCGAGGACTACATGGGCTGCCGCAAGCGCCACAACGACTTCGCGTGGAACGTCGCTCATGTCGGCGCTCAGGCTCGATTTCGGTTTCCTACTCCCCTTCCTCCATTTGCTGCTGCTCCCTCTCCTCACCCCTTCTACAGACGTTTGCCCTCATCCTTCGCCTTCTTCTTCTCTTCTTCGCCTTCTTCTCTCTCTCCTCCTCCCCCTCCTTCTCCTCCCCCTCTTCCTCCTCCTCCTCCTCCATCCTCCTCATCCTCCTCTCCTCCTCCGCCCTCCTCCTCCTCCTCCTCCTCCCCCTCCTCCTCCTCCGCCTCCCCCCCTCCCCCTCCTCATCCTCTCCTCCTCCTCCTCCTCTCCTCCCTCCTCCTCCTCATCCTCCTCCTCCTCCTCCTCCTCCTCCTCCTCTCCTCCTCCTCCTCCTCCTCCTCCTCCTCCTCCTTCTCCCCCCCCTCCTCTCCTCCTCCTCCTGCTCCTCCCCTCCGCCTCCCCCTCCCTCCTCACTGCTCATCCTCCTCCTCCACTCTCCCCTCCTTTTCTTCCTCTTTTATCCCTCTTCTTCTTTTTCTTCTTCGTATTCTCCTTTTTCTGTCCCCCCCTCCCTGCCCCACCATCCCCATTCCCGTCCCCCTCCCGACCCCACTCCCGCCCTCCTCCTGCTCCCCACTGCTCCTGCTCTTCCTCCTTCTCCTCCTTGCCGTCCTCCTCCTCCTCCTTCTCGCATTTCTTTCCACCCCGTCCGCACTCCTGCCCACTCTTGCTCCTGCGCTTCCTCTTTCTCCCGTTCCCGTCCCTGTCTCCGCTCTCCTCCTCGCCTTTCTCCTCCTCCTCCTCCTCCTCCTCCTCCTCCTCCTCCTCCTTCGGTTTCTCCTCCTTCGGTTTCTCCTCGCTCTTCCGCTTCTCTCCGCCTCTCTTCTCCTTCGGTCTCTTTCCCTGTTCCTCCTCCTCCTCCTCCGCCGCCCGCCACTCCCGTCCCAGTCCGTCCCCGTCCACGTCCCCGTCCCCGCTCCCGCCCCCTCGCCGCCCACCCGCCGTCCCTGCTCCACGTGGTGCCCCTCCCCTCCCCCCATTCAGCCACCCCCCAGTGCCCGCTCCTGCTCTCGCCCCCGTCCCCGTCCCCTGTCCCCCTCCCCCCCTGCACCCGCTCCTCCTCTCCTCTCCTCTCCTCCTCCCTCCTCCTCCTCCGCCTCCTCCTCCTCCCTCACTCCTGCTCCTCCTCCTCCTCCTCCTCCACCCTCCTCCTCCTGCTCCTCCTGTTCTTCCTCCTCTCCCTCATCCTCCTTCCTCTCTCTCTCTTCTCTCTCTCTCGCTCTCTTCCATCTCTCTCTCTCCTCCTTCTCCTCCGATCTCTCTCTCTCTCTCTCTCCTCTCTCTCATCTCCTCCTCCGCCTTCCTCCTCCTCCTCCTCCTCCTCCTCCTCCCCTCCTCCTCCTCCTCCTTCCTCCTCCTCCCTCCTCCTCCACTCTTCCTTTTCACTCCTCCTCGTCCTCCTCCTCCTCTCGCTCTCCTCCTCTTCCCCCTCCTCCTCTATTCCGCCTCCACCTCCTCCTCGTCCTCCCTCCTCCTTCTTCTCTCCTCCTCCTCCACCTCCTCGTCCCTGCCCCCTCCTCCCCCTCCTCTTCCTCCTCCTCCTCGTACTCCTCTCCTCCTCCCCCTCCCTCCTCCTCCTCCTCCACCTCCTCCGTCCTCCTTGTCCTCCTTCCTCCTCCTCCTCCTCCTCCTCCTCCTCTCCTGCCTCCCCCTCCTCCTCTTCCTCCTCCTCCTCCTCCTCGTCATCCCCCTCCTCCTCCCCTTCTCCTCCTCCTCCTCCTCCTCCTCCTCCTCCCCTCCTCCTCCTCCTCCTCCTCCTCCTCCTCCTCCTCCCCCTCCTCGTCCCTGCACCTTTCCTCCCCCTCCTTTTCCTCCTCCTCAGAATCCTTCCTCCTCCTCCTCCCCGTCCCTCCTCCTCCTCCACTCCTCTTCCTCCTGTTTCCCTTTTCCTCCTCCTCCCCTCCTCCTCCTCCTCCTCCTCCCTCTCCTCCTCCTCCTCCTCCTCCTCCTCCTCCTCCTCCTCCCCCTCCTCCCCCTCCTCCACCTGCTGCTGCTGCTCATCCTCCTCCTCCTAGCCGTTCTGGCACAGGGCGGTCCCTTTCCTCCCCTGTGTTTGCTGGCATCCACTTCACTGCGGCACGAGGTGCCAACGGGCCAACTTGGCAATATGTCCGCGCCGTGGCCCCGTCCAAGCCGCCCATGTGGGGACCTGCCCCAGCGTGGGCATTCCATGGCTCAGGCGTGGCATATGCGCAGCAGTGGCCGTCATGGGGCAACATGCCTCCGCCGTATCCTGGTTCTCAGCTCAGTGTTCCTGGCTATGGTGGTAAGTGGTGCTGCTGACCGTCGCTGGACATGCAATTTCCCCGACTGTCGATGCAAGAAGATCGACATCCGCTCCTCCGCCTGCAAGCACTGTAAGCGACCCCGATGTGCTCAGCCTGGTTCGCAAGCTCCTGGCTTTTGGACGGGGCACCAGCGTCAGTCAGGATTTCAGCAGCCAGTGGCGCCAGGACCACTCTATCCTGCTGGGCCACCGTCACAGAAGTTCGATGACTACTCGGCCGATGCGCTACAGCAGCTCATTGCTAACGTCAGCTTCTACACGTCTGCCCTCGAGCGCGTCAAGGCCAGAGGTCGCCCAGCGCCACCGAGACCCCTTCAGCGACAAGCTAATTAACGATGCCCACCAGGCATTCAAGATCACTGAGCGCAGGCTCGAGAAGGCGTTGGACGAACTGTAGACGGCGCGCACATGGCTGGCGAAGAAGCATTCAGACGCTACCTCACTACAGAAGGAGCTGGAAGAACAGGACCGCATCCACACCGACTTGGCGAGCCAGCTCCACAGCTCGGCGTGCAAGGCTCCGCCCGTTTCCAATTCCACTGCTACGCAGATCGACGTGCGCGATCTGCTGGACGGGAAGCTCTCTGAGATCCGCATCGTTGGTGGTGACGAGCTGCTCGGTGTCCCCTCGGAGGAGTGCGAATTCTCCACGGAAGGCATCCAGCTCGTCCAGGCCAAGCAGAAGGATCTTCTCTCAGGGGTCCAGCAGTTGGCGGCGACACTCTACACGGACCTGGTCAAGACCCTCAACGACGCCAAGCACGACTATCGAGAAGGATTGGCTCGGCGATCACACAAGAAACGTAAAGTTCAAGACGGAGCTGCGCCTCGAGGTGATAGTGGCTCGGCTACAGCGACCAGCTCGGGGTCTGGGAGCGCTCCTTCGTCACTGGCTCTTGAGGCGGCACAGCCGGCATCACGCGGTGAGCCACTACGGGAGCGCGCCCAACGAGCTGTCTCTGCCGCACCTGAGGCGCCTCCGCAGACACAGGCCTCTCCCCCTGGACGGGCAACAGCCTGATCTCAGGGGGGACTGTCAGCTGACGAAATTTTTACAGCCAGCAAAGGGACCAAGCTTTTACAATTTGCCGCCCGACGATTTAAACACCCGTGCTTTTGATGGTGTTCTCAGAGCCCCAGCCCACCCATGCCCAGAAGATTCTGAGTTACTTTTTGAAACCATGAACTGCTCTAGTTGGACGTCGGCGAAACCCTGGCTTTAAAACACCCCAGCGCAAATAATTTTAGTTCAGGAGCATCACTTAGCAAACGAGGTTGTGATTGATGAAGCGTCCGCCTGGTCTCGTCGCCATGGCTGACTGGCCCGGATTACCCCTGCCACCATTTCGCCCGAGGGGGGCACGTCTGGTGGGACGGCGGTTTTGGCTCGAGATTGGCTCGGCTGTTGCGACATCACTAAGGGGCCCGACATCATCTTAGGTCGCGCTACCGCATGCTGGGTGCAAGTACTTGGCGGTATCGCTATACTTTGCTGCTCCCTCTACCTGAAGGACACAGAAGGACTTTCGGAGTTCAGTCTAAGCATTCTAGCTAAGATAGGTTCTCCCTGCAATTCGTGCTCCCCCCCTTACATTGTGGGAGGGGACTTTATAACGTGTCACCCCTAGAGCTCGCCGAGTGCGACTTCGCTGCTGTCCTCTCGGCCCGCATTGTTTCCCCGCAAGATGCGATCACCTGCACCAGCACGGTGGCAGGGGGTGGGTCGCTTCTCGATTAGTTCGTTTGTAACCCTGGTCTTGGGAAAGCGATTGCTGGGGCCTCGGTCGTGCTGACTGCGGACGCTCGTCCGCGCCGCCCTGTCCGAGTGAGGTTCCATCCGTGTCTCTCTGACCTCCAGGTGCTCGCGTATGTGCGACCCCCCCCATTCCCTCCATTCTCCCGATGGGCCCGTTTCCAGAACCCGAAAGCTGGGAGGGAACCCTGAGTTGTGCTGAGCACGCGTTGTGTTTAGTTCAGTCTGGTTCCCCGCGGTCCTCGATCCAGCGTCATGCCAATGTTCTCTACGAGTTTTGGGCCGATGTTTCGGAGAGAGAACTTGAGGGGGCTTATCAACGCCAGCTCCCTATCCGAGGCATTCGGGGCAAGGTGCCCAAGCTCGCCTGGCGGCCCGTCCTCGCGCAGGATCGCTGCCGCAAGCCACGTCGGCCCACTATGTGCGCGTTCCGTTGGCTCGAGGGCAGTTTGAGGCTCTTGCTCGTGAGCACCTGTGCGGACCGCTGGAGCCAGGCCAGGGAAGTTTCCAAGCATTTACGCGCCCCTCCCACGGATTTCCTCGACCACCCCCCCCTGTTTCAGGAGCTGGCTCAGCGCGTCAAGGATCACGTGTACCCGATTTTTGATTGCCCCGCCTTCGCTGGCAAGGACCGCCAGTGGCAGGAAGCGGGCCAGGACATTCTCGAAGCCTTGAGCGAGGCTCTCGGCGCTGATTCGGCCACTGCCCGTGCCGAAGCTGCTGCCAGTTGGAAAGGGCGGTTGCGCGATGGACTCGAGGGAGGGGGCAGGCGCGCCCACGCGTGGACTCGCCCCCCTGCCGCGTGGACCCCCACTCGCGCCGCTTCCTCTAGAGGTAAAACTTTGGCCGACCCAAAAAGCCTTCTGCAAACTGAGTGTGGTCGCTTTTCGGGGTGATGGCGGGCTCCGGATGCTCCCGCCTCAGGACACAAGGGGTATGAGCCGTATTTGGATCCCCTCCCCTGGATCGACCCCTCCAGTATTCGTCGGGCTTCCCGATCGTGCAAACCATCGTCGGCGGTGGGCGTCGATTGATTTCATTTGAGATTTTTATGCCTTCTTAGCGACCTCTCCCTGCACGTTCGTGTGACTTTGGGATCTGTCATGGAGAGTACTGGTATCATTCACAAACAGATCCGAGTGTTGAGTGTTGCGCTGCTTGAAAAACCGACGGGGAGTTGAAAACCGACGGGAAGCGTTGCTGCGTTTTGCAGGATATGGGGGGCGTTCGAGAAAACCCATTCTTCAGGACTGGGAGGCCAGAGTTCACAGGCCCTACCTCGCTGCATCAGCCTTCGCAAGTGCTGGTGACGTCGTTTGGCGCCAGGCGCTCCGCTCCGAGTCCGCTGCCCCAAATTCGCAGGTCACTTGCAGCCTTCTCTGGGACTTCGCCAAGTTCTTCGAGGCCATATGCCTTGCCAAGCTCAGAGATCGCTGCAAGCTCCGGGGCCTCCCAGCGCAGATCGCTTCGGTCTGCTTGGATATGTGCCAAGGACCGCGATTTTTGACCCCCAGAGTCATGTTTCAAGGCCCTTTCAATACTTTCAGATGAATCCTTGCAGATTGCTCGGCCGCCTCCAGTTTTGTGCGTGCTGACATCGTTCCCTCTCCTGACGTGTTCCCTCCCAGGGTTCAGAAGGGTTTGGATGTTTACATTGGTGACTATGGTTATTCGGTTCAGGCGCGTCCGTGTTCCATTGTCAGTCTGGTGGTTGAAACCGCTACTGAGCTGTCCCATGTTATCACAGAGGATATGGATTGTACTGTTCGCTCGACAATGCTGCTCTCGTTTGTTCCTCTTCCTCTCGCGGGCTTCGCATCGAGAAGCCGTTGGGGCCTCTGGCGGGCGCGCCGGAGGACTCTGCCGCCAATCTAGGAGCGGGCGAGACTGCTGGGATGGGAAGGAGAGGAGGAAGAAGGGGGACAAGTATGCTCACAGGCGAAGGGTATTTAAACAGCGGCTTGCTAGGTTCCAGCGATGTAAGGCCATGCTGGGGCGACACACGCGTCGAATTTTTACTGCGGGCCCCCTCGCTGGTCTGA